TCGCTTTTGAAGGGGTTTTTTGTGTTTAAGGGTAGGGATCAAAGGGGACTTGCAGATTGCATCATCATAAGATTTTGCAAAAATCATGGGGCTTTGTATTTTCGGAATGCCATCTCGTGCCGAGCCGTGGACTGTACAGAACCGCCAAGGTTTTGAGAATGTGGAAAATAAGGGGAAATAAACAAGTCTCCTAGTACGTTTCAGCCTTTTTAGTGAACAGCTGTATCCAATGCATCAGAGTCCACTTTCTCAAAGAAAAAACAACGTAAAAAGTCATGAGGTAATAGTGTCTCAAAGTAGCCTTTTAGGTGCATTTTGTACAGTGGAATCCCACATCGGACTTGCTTGCACTAGCTTCTCGAAAAGGTGAAGTGATGGTGAAAAGAAATGCATGGAAACGTTGTTGGAAAGTAGGTTTTGAGTGCGCTTTGGGTAAAAGAAATTGATTTTTCCTGATTTCTTGTTTATTCGTCTATAGGTGAATGTATCGGAACTGACTTCATTCCCTGAAACTCAGTGCACAAAACCGGCATTGGTAGAATCTATGACTTGGTCTCCAGATGGAGCCATTCTGGCAGTGGCTATGAATGATGGACATCTGCATCTTATTGAAGCTGAGGAGGGAGTCGTACGATGGTCCAGAAAGTACGCTTTTGCCTTTATTTTGCAAAATTCTTCGGTTTTTATTTTTTTAAAGTCTGGGACCAAGCACATGTGCTCAAAAAATGCGATGGTTTTGGAGTGGAAAGCCACCATCGACGAAGGCTGAGTTGGCAGAGAATTTTGTTGATCGATCGTATTATGATGAAAGCAAAGCTGTGGTAATTTTTTTTCGATTTTCTGTCTTTGGTCTTTCATACGTGACAATAAAAATAACATTAAGGCAAGCATTTTCGGCAATGGTGAAGACATTATTGACGAGCGTATAAGCAAGACACTCCTTTATGAAAACCTCTACAGGAAATCATTACGAGGAACTCTTCTATTTATGGTAAGTCAAATTTCACAATTTAGTAAGTTGAGTTTCCAAACCCAAAGGAGACCTTGGCTGAAAAGGCATTCATAGCCTTATAGAAGA